GCCTCGTGTATTTGGATGATGTCATCGTACATGGAAAGACGGAAGATGAACACTTGGACAATTTGGCTAGTGTTTTGGAATGCTTGTTGAGGGTGGGATTAAAGCTTAAGCCCTCAAAGTGTCATCTCTTGAAAAGGGAAGTGGCGTACTTAGGGCACATAATATCTGGAGATGGTATTCGAACGGACCCGGTAAAGGCTGAACAGGTCAGGTCGTGGCCAACGCCAACCACTACGGAGGAGTTACGTAGTTTTCTCGGGTTAGCATCATATTATCGGCGATTTATTCGAAACTTCTCATCCATTGCAGCCCCATTACACTCATTGCTAGAGAAGGGTCGCATGTTCGAATGGTCGAAGCAGTGCGCAGAAGCTTTCAATCACCTACGTGAATCTCTCTGTACGGCCCCTTTGCTAATATTTCCCGATTTGTCCCCGTCTGCTGGCCAGTTTATCTTGGATACTGATGCGAGTGATAAGGCGATTGGAGCAGTGTTATCACAACTGGGATCGGATGGTGTCGAACGAGTCGTGGCATATTGTAGTCGCAGTCTCAGCCCGAGGGAGCGAAATTACTGCACGACTAGGAAGGAGATGCTGGCATTGGTATATTTCATCAAACAAAACCGACATTATCTATTAGGTCGAAAGTTTCTGGTCCGCACAGACCACCAGTCACTTCGGTGGCTGCAGAATTTTAAAGACCCCGAAGGCCAAATCGCGCGTTGGCAAGAGCAATTGCAGGAATATGACTTTGAGTGCAGACATCGCCCCGGTAAGCAACACGCTAATGCTGATGCATTGTCACGAATTCCCCCTCGTAACCATGGAGAGTGCCCTTCGTGTAATACGCAACACGTAGCAATCGTCAATCTTCAAGGAGCAGAGTATGGTCGGTGGCAAACGGCACAGGCGAACGATCCCGATACCGCACTGATCTACGAGAGGCGTCTTAATGGCGGCGATAAACCAACGAGTAAAGAGATGGAAGGGAAAAGTTATGAAGCTCGTTGCCTTTGGTCCATGTGGGATTACCTGACCACCGAAGAAGGAGTTTTAGTTTTCAATTTCGGACCGACGTACACGAGAAGAATCATCGTCCCGCATTCTATGGTTAGGGAAGTACTGAGCGATTTACACAAGGAAATGGGACATGCAGGGATCAATAAAATGGACGAAGCGGTTCGACGACGTTTCTGGTGGCCCCATCAACGGAGAGATGTGATCAACTACTGTCAAGCGTGCGAAGAATGTGGTGCCTTTAAAAACCCTCGTATCGTTCATCGTGCACCCTTGCAGCCCATGGTGGCCGGCTATCCTAACGAGATAGTAGGAGTGGATCTCATAGGCCCTTTACCTGAGACGCCAAGAGGTAATCGCTTTATTTTGGTCATGATCGATTACTTTACTAAATGGTGCGAGGCTATACCGATAAGACAGGCGGATACGTCCACTGTGGCAACAGCTTTGGTAAATCATTGGGTCTGCCACTGGGGTGCACCAGGGCAGCTACACTCGGATAAGGGATCGTGCTTTGAGAGCTCACTGGTAATTGAAGTTTGTCGGTTACTTGGGATAGACAAAACTCGAACCACAGCGTATCATCCTCAAGGAAATGGGCAAGTGGAAAGAACAAATCGTTCTCTTAAATCGTTGCTGAAGGCCTTCGCGGACAGGAATATCAATGAGTGGGACAATGTGTTGCCCAGATGCCTACTTGCATACAGGAGCACAGTACATTCATCGACGGGACAGACACCATTCCTTATGTGGACAGGAAGAGAGGCACGATTACCTTCGGATCTACGTCTACCGATGACGCAACAGCTACAGTCATCGGTTATGGAATATGTTAGCAAGTTGTTAGACTCCCTTTGGCAGTCTCATCAGTCAGCACGAGTGCATTTAGGGAATGCACACCGGCGTCAGAAGGAATATTACGACAAGAAGGTATTTGGCGTACCCCTGAAAGTTGGTGATTTAGTTTGGTTACACCAACCTCAAGCATCAGGAGTGCCGGCAAAGTTTCACAGAGAGTGGACGGGTCCATATACGGTAGAACGAGTGCTCTCTGAGGCCACCTGCATGATAAAGGATCGTAACAACCCTAATAGTCAACCTATAGTTGTCCATTTCAATCGCCTCAAACCCTGTAGACAAGAAGCTGAGTCAATCGAGTCAGAGAGGGCAGATTCACCACCAGTGGTCGCTCGTGAACTTGAAGTACCGGCTGAGGGGGGCTACGGGGTAGCACCGGGGACGGCGCTCGAAGGAGGGAGAGTGTAGTGTAGTGTTGCACGGAAACTGTTGTGGCGCGCTGCTTGACTTTGAACTGGTGTTTACGCTGCGCTTTCATTTGCCTTGCAGGAACCTGGTCGTGTGCTTTAACGGAAGAAGTGCAAGCAGAAGAAGATTGACTTTTGCTACGTGTTGCTTAATAAATCTCCAGTTCCAATCTCCGCAGTTCTCCCAAGCTTGCATATTACAATACTACATTGTTTGATCCTTTGGAGGTATATGCAAACTCTGGGACCTGTACTGTCTATAAATCCGCAACGAACATGGATAACTTCAGCCAACCTGAGAGTCATACAGGAATCCTCGGAGTTACTACTAGGTGCTCAGCTGCTGGTACAACTCGACATGATTTACCGGAAGCAACAACAGTTGGGGAAAAGCTAACGCAAATTTAAATAGCTTCTTTAACAAAAATG